TCTGGTCTCTCTCTCTGGTCTCTCTCTCTGGTCTCTCTCTCTGGTCTCTCTCTCTGGTCTCTCTCTGGTCTCTCTCTGGTCTCTCTCTGGTCTCTCTCTGGTCTCTCTCTGGTCTCTCTCTGGTCTCTCTCTGGTCTCTCTCTGGTCTCTCTCTGGTCTCTCTCTGGTCTCTCTCTGGTCTCTCTCTGGTCTCTCTCTCTGGTCTCTCTCTCTGGTCTCTCTCTCTGGTCTCTCTCTCTGGTCTCTCTCTCTGGTCTCTCTCTCTGGTCTCTCTCTCTGGTCTCTCTCTCTGGTCTCTCTCTCTGGTCTCTCTCTCTGGTCTCTCTCTCTGGTCTCTCTCTCTGGTCTCTCTCTCTGGTCTCTCTCTCTGGTCTCTCTCTCTGGTCTCTCTCTCTGGTCTCTCTCTCCAAAACTCAGACTAGAATCTAACTTCTGACACTAGTTACCATTAAAGACCTTATGCCGGGTTTGATTTATTTAGAAATACAGTTTTAATACCATTTTATATTAGAAGAGAACTACTAAAGGTTTCAAAATCAGTTGTTTTTTTTGTCTGATTCCCCCAAATCGAAATAACCCCATAGCAACGCCCTTAGAGACGAAAAAACTTCACAGCCCTTGGTGACGTCAGAGTGGGTACGTTTCAACGCTGTAAAGGCGCGTTCAGACCAAAAGCTTCAAAAAGCTTTTGACGCGCTTCAACTGACGCCGGGATAGTTTTGTCATTTTGGTGCTTGAAGCTTTTGACGCGAGTGACGCGCCTGACGCCGGTGGGAGGAGCTTCTCTGTTGTCTGTAGTCAGGACAGCGGTGGATTTTTCAATGAGCAGCGAGCCTTTATTTGTTATATAAAGCAAAATAACGTTGTTGTAGGGCTTCAACAAAACATGTTCTGGGTTCACCACAGACTTGAGAGGCTGCAGTGTTTGCAGAGTTCCGTTATTTACTCCAGGAGCTGCGTACGGAGGAGTTTCGCTTTCAGCGGTACTTCCGCATGTCACTCGCCCAGTCTGAGTTCTCAAACCCCGGAGCTCGCCTCTCCCCGCCTCTCCCCGCCTCTCCCTGCCTCTCCCTGCCTCTCCCCGGCTCTCGCTCGCCTCTCCCTGCCTCTCCCTGCCTCTCCCCGGCTCTCGCTCGCCTCTCCCTGCCTCTCCCTGCCTCTCCCCGCCTCTCGCTCGCCTCTCCCTGCCTCTCCCTGCCTCTCGCCCGCCCGGAGCTGCCTTGCTCTGAGCCAGACCCATCGTCAGCCTGTTCTTATTTTAAATAAACTAGGTTTACTACACAGCATGTGTACAATGATTTTAGTTACTCAGAACGTTACTACTCATACAAATAATATTACTAATAACAATAATGACAATAAAACAGCAGCAGATACATGACTTCTCTCCATGACAGAGACAGACCTTCTGCTGCTGCTGCTCCTCGTCTCCTGATTGGTTGAAGCCCGCGTCAAAGCTTCAAAAGCTCAGCTTTGCTCAACTTCGGCGTCAGAGGGATTGTTTTGATACGCGAGCGTTTCGCGCGTCAAAAGCTTCAAGTGAGCGCGTAGTACGCGCGACTCTTGAAGCTTTTGACGCGCGTCAAGTGACGCCGGGGCTCTCGGCTTCATCTGACGCGCTTCACCATTCACTTTCAATGGAAACCTGACGCTTTTGACGCCGAAGTTAAGTCCGGTGTGAACGCCCCTTAAGTTGTTTACAATTTGGTATTTGTTCTTTTTTTCGCGGATATTCAAGATGACAAGGCCGTGTACAGCGAGTCTGACATAAATACTAGATTGAGATCATTTGTTGTCACTGAGATAGTCCAGTGGTTGTGTCGATGCACTGCCAATCCAGATTCTGGGGTTCAAATCCCACCTCAGACACTTTTTCACTCTCAAAACTGCAATTTATGTGTAGTGAGCAATTGTCACCTGTAGAGGGCAGTATTGTGTTGGGCATCAGTGGAGAGAAGAGAGAAAAGGCAGTCCTGTGGCATAGATCCATGGTTTTCAATGCATGGGCTTTACCCGCTGTGACGTCACACACAGGTTAGAGCATAGACAACTTCCATCCATCCATTTTCTTCCCCTTAATCCATTTCTGGGTCGGGGGGGTGGCAGTCAGAGCTGCACCCAGTACACAGAGCACCAGCCCCTCACTGATCCTCCTGCAGGTGGTGAGTCCACAGGAGCTGAAATCTTTCAGTTGGGGCTTTGGGCAAAGTGGGGTTAAGTGTCTTGCCCAAGGACACAACGACAGCAGTCATCAGTGGGAGTCGTGAAGTAGGTCTTACGGTGGGCTCAAACCCACGACCTTCAGGCCCAAAGGCCAATGCTCTACCAACTGAGCTACTGTCGCATAGACAACTTAAATTCATGAAAAACACGTTCTTTTTATAAAATATAGGATTTTTTTGCCGGAATCTCTTTCAGATCAACATTGTCATGCAATTTTGATATCCACTATTTTTTTTTTCAAACCGGCATAAGGTCTTTAATAGCAGGAACCATTTTTCAGTTACCCTCCTCCACAGTGTCTCTGGGATAATGTGTAATAAAAATGACACCATGTCCATGACACTAATGGACCTCGGCCCCTGGACCTCGGCTCCTGGACCTCGGCTCCTGGACCTCGGCTCCTGGACCTCGGCTCCTGGACCTCGGCTCCTGCTCTGACCTTCACCAAAGACGATACTTATTCTCTTAAAGGACATTAATCTCAGAACAATGGGCCCAGAGCCAATAAATATATTTATGTAAAATGTGTGACTCAGCAGTTAAAGCTGAGGTACCTAACCTTTATCCTCCATAATTAATAAAAGGACTCCTAATGTTGTGAATTAATCAGACCAAGGCCGCTGTCAAAACATGTCCTGGTACTGGCCTAGTGAGGGGGGTCCAGAGGGGGTCTAGAGGGGGGTTCAAGAGGAGGGTCCAAGAGGGGTCCAAGAGGGGTCCAGAGGAGGGACCAGAGGGGGTCTAGAGGGGGGTTCAAGAGGAGGGTCCAAGAGGGGTCCAAGAGGGGTCCAGAGGAGGGTCCAGAGGGCTGTCCAAGAGGGGGGTCCAAGAGGGGTCCAGAGGGGGGTAGAGAGGAGGGTCCAGAGGAGGCGCCAGAGGGGAGTCCATAGAGGGTCTATAGGGGTCCAGAGGAGGGTCCAGAGGGGGGTCCATGGGGGTCCAGAGGAGGCTCCAGAGGAGGGTCCATATGGGGGGTCCAGAGGAGGGTCAAGAGGGGAGTCCAGAAGGAGAGTCCAGAGGAGGGTCCAGAGGGGGGTCCAGAGGAGGGCCCAGAGGAGGGTCCAGAGGGGGGTCCAGAGGGGGGTCCAGAGGAGGGCCTAGAGGAGGGTCCATATGGGGGGTCCAGAGGAGGGTCCATATGGGGGGTCCAGAGGAATACAGTGACTAAAGGTGAGTTTTTTAGACAATATTGAGAAAGTGAATGTAGCGTCGAAAGGGACTGGAGCTGAAAATGAGCAATATCTAAACTCTTTTGCATCAGTCACAAGCTTGTTTTGTTCTAAGAAACTTGCCAGTTCCCCGTCGAATAAATTATAAATAAATATAAAAATAAAATGATGGAAAAACAGTCCTAGTTCAGTCCTGTCCTAATATTTGTGTAAGACGCCGTTTTTTCATGTTTCTGTCGGAAAAAAGCTGATCTAAAGAAGTGACAGGAGCCAGAGACACATGAGGCCAGAAATAGAACCAGCAACCGTCCTGAACCAGCAACTGTTCTGAACCAGTAACTGTTCTGGACCAGCAACCGTTCTGAACCAGCAACCATTCTGAACCAGCAACCGTTCTGAACCAGCAACCGTCCTGAACCAGCAACCGTCCTGAACCAGCAACCGTCCTGAACCAGCAACTGTTCTGAACCAGTAACTGTTCTGGACCAGCAACCGTTCTGAACCAGCAACCGTTCTGAACCAGCAACCGTCCTGAACCAGCAACCGTCCTGAACCAGCAACCGTCCTGAACCAGCAACCGTCCTGAACCAGCAACCGTCCTGAACCAGTAACCGTCCTGAACCAGCAACTGTCCTGAACCAGCAACTGTCCTGAACCAGCAACTGTCCTGAACCACCAACCGTCCTGAACCAGCAACCGTTCTGAACCAGCAACGGTTCTGAACCAGCAACTGTTCTGAAGCAACTGTTCTGGACCAGCAACTGTCCTGAACCAGCAACTGTCCTGAACCAGCAACTGTCCTGAACCAGCAACTGCCCTGAACCAGCAACTGCCCTGAACCAGCAACTGCCCTGAACCAGCAACTGTCCTGAACCAGCAACCGTTCTGAACCAGCAACTGTTCTGGACCAGCAACTGTCCTGAACCAGCAACTGTTCTGAGAGTTAGACTGATCCCAGAGTTCACATGGATCTGGGGTTTCTCTCTTTTCTCCCACTGGGTTTTAGAGTCTGTCGGAGTCTGTCGGAGTCTGTCGGAGTCTGTCGGAGTCTAAAAGACAGACTAAGAAGGACTGTGATCCAGGACACTCTGCATTCTACTATGGACATTGGTCTCTCTCTGTGGTCCAGAACCATGTGGTGTCTATCCCTATGGTCCAATACCATGTGGTCTCTCCCTATGGTCCAATACCATGTGGTCTCTCCCTATGGTCCAATACCATGTGGTCTCTCCCTATGGACTTATACCATGTGGTCTCTCCCTATGGTCCAATACCATGTGGTCTCTCTCTATGGTCCAATACCATGTTGTCTCTCCCTATGGTCCAATACCATGTGGTCTCTCTCTATGGTCCAATACCATGTTGTCTCTCCCTATGGTCCAATACCATGTGGTCTCTCTCTATGGTCCAATACCATGTGGTCTCTCCCTATGGTCCATTACCATGTGGTCTCTGTGTCTAAACTGTTGATTTTCTGATCTGTGTAGGAGAATCAACAGTTTTGTAAACTACTGCTGTGATTAAGTGTGATACATGAATAAACTGAATAATACAGTATTGTGTGTGTGAAAAGCAGGTACCCCAGCTTTAACCTTCAGTCGGTCTCACCTCTCTCTGGGTCAGCTTCTGCTTGTCCATCTGCCTGACCTTGGGGCTGTTGGCCAGCAGGTGACGCAGCTTCACATAGCTCTTCCACAGCTTCTGATATCTGTCAAAACAGAGAACATGGGTCATGTCTCACTCAGCACAGAGACTCGGCACAGGGACTCGGCACAGGGACTCGGCACAGGGACTCGGCACAGGGACTCGGCACAGGGACTCGGCACAGGGACTCGGCACAGGGACTCGGCACAGGGACTCGGCACAGGGACTGGACTGAAGCCAATCCAGGAGTCTGAGCTTTTGGATCCAGCTCATCATTATCAAAATATTGAAAAAAGCTGTGACTGTTTAAATGGTCTTGTTATAGAAATATTTTAGTAAAGCAATCTGAATTAACACCAAATAGTTATGAGTGTAAGTTATTAACTAATAGTCAACTCTGGATTCAGATACAGGCCATAATGCTCTGTTGGCTCAGGTCAGTGATAGATGGAGACGTGCTGCATCATGTCTTTGACCTGGGTCATAGAACAATATGTTCAGTTCAAAAGCAGATTGTTACATATATCAGAGTTGTATCAGCGTTAGGAGGCGTAAAGAGAAGCCTTGAGCAACACATATCAATGTTGACTTCATTTATGTAATATCTAGAGTAGATATGTGTTTGTTTACTCTGGTCTATTTAATGTACAGTCATTTCCTCAATCGGGGCAGTCGATTTCGGACGGCTGCCCGGTGGTATTGGTATCGGTTCTGTTATTCATTGTAATTGTGCACATTTACTAATGAATAAACTCAGGCTTTGTTTGGAATTACAGCTCTGGGTTGTTTACATTATTTTACTCTTGTTATGTGCAGTAATTCTACAACAATTTGGCGTCAACGAACAGTCCCATCGTCTGGAGGGGCTTCGCCGCGGACCCGGCCCAGGAAGGGTGGCCTCCCCAGCCTCTGGCATGGTCTTCTCCTCGCGTGTTTGAGATACAGAAGATTCCTGGCGCCGGGCCGAGGCGATGCCGTCCAGCGCATGGTTATCAAACGGACAAACGTAAGCAACCAGTGTGGTAAGAGCTGTATTTTTTCAAACTGTCAAAAGAACCCCGTATTTTATCTCTCCGCGCAAAACTAAAAGCCCCATTTTCACCCAGCGAGATGCCTTGGCTGTCCTGTTCTCAGAGTCAGATGTTTTCCTGTGTACAGATGTTTTAACTGGCTTGACTTTAACTAGTAAGTTTTAAGAGTTAATCGTGTATTAACTGGCTTGACTTTAGTGAGTTTTAAGAGTTAAATGGTTTCTGTTTTCCTGTGTACAGATGTTTTAACTGGCTTGACTTTAACTAGTGAGTTTTAAGAGTTAATCGTGTATTAACTGGCTTGACTTTAGTGAGTTTTAAGAGTTAAATGGTTTCTGTTTTCCTGTTTACAGAGGTTTTAACTGGCTTGACTTTAACTAGCAGGGTTAAGGGTTAATTGTGTATTAACTAGCTTGACTTGGACTAGTGAGGGCATAGTAAGGAGAATAGGGACGGCCATAGTGAGCCAAGATGGGTCAAAATCAGGGATCATTATCGTCTGACAGGGACGAGGTCCCACAAACCGCGGTGACGAAGGCAATGGCCGGAAAATATGGGCCAACGGCCCTTGAATGTTCAAATGTATGGTCTGGAAAAATAGGGTTTCCCGGACAGTAGGTCTTCAAGCTTAAATCAAGTATATAAACTACAAACATTTAGAAAATTAGCAAATGAAACCTACCAAATAGATTCTGACGTATGTAATAATGAGTCTGGCGTACTGTGTACAAATTCTTGACAAAACATGAGTGTTTGAGTATGTGAACGGATGAAGTAGAGGGAGTAAAAGAAAAGAAAATAAGAGTAGTTGATTTAAACTAATTAGTTGGTTAATTACATTGGGGGAAATGTAACCATACACACATTACAAAACACATACAGAGCCCAGAACCAGTACAGTCCTGGGCGACACAGACTGGTATGAAAGTGACATGAGATGTGTGAAGCGAGCCAGGAGTGATAAGACTTGAACTGGAGTGACCGAGAATGACTGTGAGAGTGACTGATAAACAAAGAAATACAAGTCTGTGTGGAGAGCGAATGGAAAGTCAGAATGAGAGCATGAATGTATGTAAGAGACCCAATCGAACCACCTGAATACTCTATCAAGAGGCGTATAGGCGCGACGACACACACACACACACACACACACACACACACACACACATGCATGCAAACACGCACACGCGATCTATCAAAGGGCAAGTTACTGCCGTATCTTTTTTTTCTATTTTCACATAGATAACCCTGGGATCGTGGATGCTTCTGAGCCGGTCAGATGTGTGGACCCCGACCTAGACCCTGGACGTGTGACTAAACGTCCCCAAACCTCAGACTCTGATGGAGGACAATGATATGGAGGGTAAGACAAACCCCTTCCTGAACCAGAACCCCCGTCAGTTACCCACAAAGCCCAACATGGACAAGTCTGGTGCCCCAAACAGTCATGAAAGCCAAGAACTCTGTCCCCGGCCCCCTGTGCCCAAACCAGTCAAGAACTCTGTCCCCCCTCCGCCCATCACCCGCCCTGATACAGGTGGGACCACAGGCTTCTATCCCTGCAGGTGGGAACACAGGCTTCTATCCCTGTGTAGAGAGAGGACCACGGGCTTCTATCCCTGTGTAGAGAGAGGACCACAGCCTTCTATCCCTGTGAAGAGAGAGGACCACAGGCTTCTATCCCTGCAGAGAATGGGACCACAGGCTTCTATCCCTGTGAAGAGAGAGGACCACAGGCTTCTATCCCTGTGAAGAGAGAGGACCACAGGCTTCTATCCCTGTGTAGAGAGAGGACCACAGGCTTCTATCCCTGTGAAGAGAGAGGACCACAGGCTTCTATCCCTGTGAAGAGAGAGGACCACAGGCTTCTATCCCTGTGAAGAGAGAGGAACACAGGCTTCTATCCCTGTGAAGAGAGAGGACCACAGGCTTCTATCCCTGTGAAGAGAGAGGACCACAGGCTTCTATCCCTGCAGAGAATGGGACCACAGGCTTCTATCCCTGTGAAGAGAGAGGACCACAGGCTTCTATCCCTGTGAAGAGAGAGGACCACAGGCTTCTATCCCTGTGTAGAGAGAGGACCACAGGCTTCTATCCCTGTGAAGAGAGAGGACCACAGGCTTCTATCCCTGTGAAGAGAGAGGACCACAGGCTTCTATCCCTGTGAAGAGAGAGGACCACAGGCTTCTATCCCTGTGAAGAGAGAGGACCACAGGCTTCTATCCCTGTGAAGAGAGAGGAACACAGGCTTCTATCCCTGTGTAGAGAGAGGACCACACGCTTCTATCCCTGTGAAGAGATAGGGCAGTTCACAAGAAACTTTCCCACTGACAGGGAAGCCCCGCCCACAGCAGCAGTCAAAGAGTGGACAGAGACAAAGCAACAACTGGTTCTGACAAAATGGCCCCAGGCCCACCACGTTTCCGGACAGTTCCACAGGAACCAGCATGAACGATATGGGACTGACTGACTGGAGGACGAGGGTCTGGGAGGGTCCCACGGACGATCTGGACGAGGCAGACCATGGTCCGGGTATCGTAAACAAAACATGACTCAAACACACATCTACACATGTCCAGAAGTCAGGACAACACAAACACAAGCACTCATTTGGGGATGGATGTGATCATTGACGTATGCACAAATTTAGACTATTCTAAAGTTTAGAGTAGCTTGACAAACCCTATTGTCAGAGAAAAAAAAAAAGAAAAAAAAAAGAAGAGAAAAATAGAGTGGGGGATAGGTTACTTTTATCAATTCCGTGGGCCACATACTCCTTGATTAAGGACTTTATTTATTACATAACATCCCCGAATGGGTGAAGGACACATTCTTTTCTTTAGAGACGAAACATGACAAAGGAATTTTTCATAAATCCATTGAAATGTTCTGAATAATCCGAAGGTTGTGAGTTAAACAGAGTTTCTGTGTTTTCAAATTGCCCAGTTGTTTTCCACAGCCGAGACTAAATCTGTGGTCTGTGTGTAAAAATAAGAAATAAAATGGTAAAAATCCCTTGTAGTATACTCGTATAATAGTATTCTGACAGAAGTTGTCTGTCTATAATGTATTTGAATGTAAATTGTCACCAAATCCCACAATCAATTTAGTAAATATAATGTTTTAGTCAGACGACCGGAGGCTTCATAACTTTGGAAATATGCATTGCTCGATTGTGATGTAGAAAACAGAGTTTGGTGTGAATGTAACTGGTCTGAGAGAGAGAGAATGGTATGAGAGAGATAAGGACAATAATGACCCACAGCACACACACAACATTACACATTGTTTCTGTTAGAGCCTAGAGCCGCAGAGTGGGAGGGGCTTGTAGTTTTGGGAACAGAAGTGTGAAAGTGTGTGATTGGCATAAAACAGCTGAAAAGACATTTCCAGCCAAAACATAGAGACGTGGAGAGTTCGACTTCTACGTCACAGAGAGACAGTGTCTGAGGTCAGAACGACTGCTCTGAAAATGAGGCATGTTAAATAACTCTGGCAGAGGCTGGAGTAATCGTACATTTCAGAGGTGTAAACAAAGCCATCTTTGCAATAAACAAAATAAACCAGCAGCAAAATAGGTCCAAATCGTTTATCTATTTTCCTCATGAGGACTCCAAAAATGTTTAAAGCCAAGTATTTTTGTTGTTGTAGTGGTAGACTTGGCAAATGCATATTTTTGTAATTCTAAGGTTTTTATATTTTTCCTTCAATAGGTGCACAAAGGCCAAAGGGGGACCCCAGTTTTTGGTTTTGTTTTTTTTGCTGCATTATGTGATTTTTGACTGCACTTGTTTTAGTCAGTTTTCATTTTAGCAACAGTCAGTAATGATAAGATTAAGAGATTTTCAGACGTCCCACAGTGGGGACATTTCAGTGTTGCATTACAACACAAGACAGGTGAATAGTAAGTGTAGCACAACTCTATACTTTTAAATTTAAAATAATTTGGCTCGGTAAAGGTACAAGGTAAAGTATTGTGTACTCTAGTGTAAATCAATCAATCAATCAATCAACGTTTATTTGTATAGCGCCTTTCCTACACAAGGCAACGCAAAGCGCTTCACATCCCCTATCACATCATGCATAAATCAAACACATTAAGAGCACAGGATATATTAAAAACATTAAAAATAAAATCACAAAAATTAAAAACCTTTAAACATTAAAATCACAGATGGGACTAAAATCATAAATAGTCACAGTGCATTAAAAAGATTAAAGATAAAAACAAAGATGAAAAGA